ATTTACTTATTTATTTATTTATTTATTAGATTTCTATCCCACCCCCTAGACAAAGTCTACTCAGGGCAAGTTCCATTAAACATTATACACTAAAACAATTAAAACAATTCAAAACTATAATGTTAGTAATGCTCAAGATGGGAAAACAAAATTATAATAAGAATAAAGTCAAGTATTGACAGGAGGGAAGGCCTGCCTGAAGAGCCAAGTTTTTAACTGGCTCTTAAAAACACATTATATTTAATTGGTTAAAACACAGGTGAATGATGACAAACAGGTGAAGAAGTCTATGGGTTTCTTAATAATCGGAGAAGGGGCAATGAGACAAAATATCTGGGAAATAAATAAAACAAAGGGTTTGATAGCATTGACATCTGTGTGTGTTTAGTCGTTTAGTCGTGTCCGACTCTTCGTGACCCCATGGACCAGAGCACGCCAGGCCCTCCTGTCTTCCACTGCCTCCCGGAGTTGTGTCAGGTTCATGTTGGTTGCTTCGCAGACACTGTCCAGCCATCTCATCCTCGGTCGTCCCCTTCTCCTCTTGCCATCACACCTTCCTAACATCAAGGTTTTTTCCAAGGACTCTTTTCTTCTCATGAGATGGCCAAAGTACTGGAGCCTCAGCTTCAGAATCTGTCCTTCAAGTGAGCATTCAGGGTTGATTTCCTTTAGAACTGATAGGTTTGTTCTCCTTGCAGGCCAGGGGATTCTCAAGAGCCTCCTCCAGCACCACAATTCAAGGGCATCAATTCTTCGGCGGTCTGCTTTCTTTATGGTCCAGCTCTCACTTCCATACATCACGACAGGAAAAACCATAGCTTTGACTATTCGGACTTTTGTTGGCAAGGTGATGTCTCTGCTTTTCAAGATGCTGTCAAGATTTGTCATCGCTTTCCTCCCAAGAAGAAGGCGCCTTTTAATTTCAGGGCTGCTGTCTCCATCTGAAGTAATCATGGAGCCCAGGAAGATAAAATTTGACACTGCCTCCATATCTTCCCCTTCTATTTCCCAGGAGGTGATGGGACCAGTGGCCATGATCTTAGTTTTTTTGATGTTGAGTTTCAGACCATTTTTTGCACTCTCCTCTTTCACTCTCATTACAAGGTTCTTCAATTCCTCCTCACTTTCTGCCATAAGAGTGGTATCATCTGCATATCGGAGGTTGTTGATATTTCTTCCGGCAATCTTAATTCCGGCTTGGGTTTCTTCCAGTCCAGCCTTCCGCATGATGTATTCTGCATATAAGTTAAATAAGCTGGGGGACAATATACAGCCTTGCCGTACTCCTTTCCCAATTTTGAACCAATCAGTTGTTCCATGACCAGTTCTAACTGTTGCTTCCTGTCCCACATATAGGTTTCTCAGGAGACAGATAAAGTGGTCAGGCACTCCCATTTCTTTAAGAACTTGCCATAGTCTGCTGTGGTCCACACAGTCAAAGGCTTTCGCATAGTCAATGAAGCAGAAGTAGATATTTTTCTGGAACTCTCTGGCTTTCTCCATAATCCAGCGCAAGTTAGCAATTTGGTCTCGAGTTCCTCTGCCTCTTCGGAATCCAGCTTGTACTTCTGGGAGTTCTCGGTCCACATACTGCTGAAGCCTACCTTGCAGGATTTTGAGCATAACCTTGCTAGCGTGCGAAATGAGTGCAATTGTACGGTAGTTGGAGCATTCTTTGGCACTGCCTTTCTTTGGGATTGGGATGTAGACTGATCTTTTCCAATCCTCTGGCCACTGTTGAGTTTTCCAAACTTGCTGGCATATTGAATGTAGCACCTTAACAGCATCATCTTTCAAGATTTTAAATAGTTCAACTGGAATGCCATCACCTCCACTGGCCTTGTTGTTAGCCAGGCTTTCTAAGGCCCACTTGACTTCACTCTCCAGGATGTCTGGCTCAAGGTCAGCAACTACATTGTCTGCATTGTCCGGGATATCCAAATCTTTCCGATATAATTCCTCTGTGTATTCTTGCCACCTCGTCTTGACGTCTTCTGCTTCTGTTAGGTCCCTCCCATTTTTGTCTTTTATCATGTTCATCTTTGCGCAAAATGTTCCTCTAATATGTCCAATTTTCCTGAACAGATCTCTGGTCTTTCCTTTTCTGTTATCTTCCTCTATTTCTTTGCATTGTTCATTTAAGAAGGCCCTCTTGTCTCTCCTTGCTATTCTTTGGAAGTCTGAATTCAAGTTTCTGTAACTTTCCCTATCTCCCTTGCATTTTGCTTCCCTTCTCCTCTCTGCTATTTCTAAGGCCTCGTTGGACAGCCACTTTACTTTCTTGCATTTCCTTTTCTTTGGGATGGTTTTCGTTGCTGCCTCCTGGACAATGTTACGAGCCTCTATCCAAAGTTCTTCAGGCACTCTGTCCACCAAATCTAGTTCCTTAAATCTGTTCTTTACTTCCACTGTGTATTCATAAGGGATTTGGTTTAGATTATACCTGAGTGGCCCAGTGGTTTTTCCTAATCTCTTCAGTCTAAGCTTGAATTTTGCTATGAGAAGCTGATGATCAGAACCGCAGTCAGCTCCAGGTCTTGTTTTTGCTGACTGTATAGAGCTTCTCCATCTTTGGCTGCAGAGAATATAATCAATCTGATTTCGATATTGCCCATCTGGTGATTTCCATGTATAGAGTCGCCTCTTGTGTTGTTGGAAAAGAGTGTTTGTGATGACCAGCTTATTCTCTTGACAAAACTCTATTAGCCTTTGTCCTGCTTCGTTCTGAACTCCAAGGCCAAACTTCCCTGTTGTTCCTTTTATCTCTTGGCTCCCTACTTTAGCATTCCAGTCCCCTAGAATGAGAAGAACATCTTTCTTTGGTGTCAGTTCTAGAAGGTGTTGTAAATCTTCATAGAATTGTTCAATTTCAGTCTCCTCAGCAATGCTGGTTGGTGCATAAACTTGGATTATTGTGATGTTGAAAGGTCTGCCTTGGATTCGTATTGACATCATTCTATCATTTTTGAGATTGTATCCCATTACAGCTCTTCCCACTCTTTTGTTGACTATGAGGGCTACTCCATTCCTTCTACGGGATTCTTGCCCACAATAGTAGATATGATAATCATCTGAGCTGAATTCGCCCATTCCTGTCCATTTTAGTTCACTGATGCCCAGGATGTCAAAGTTTATTCTTGCCATCTCCTGTTTGACCACCTCCAGCTTCCCAACGTTCATAGATCTTACATTCCAGGTTCCTATGCAGTATTCTTCTTTGCAGCATTGGATTTTCCTTTCACTTCCAGGCACGTCCACAGCTGAGCGTCCTTTCGGTTTGTTTCTGATCATGGGGTGTTCTTGGCAAAGATACTGGAGTGGCTTGCCATTTCCTACTCCAGGTGGATTGCGTTTAGTCGGAACTCTCCACTATGTCCTGTCCGTCTTGGGTGTCCCTGCACGGCATAGCCCATAGTTTCTCTGAGTTACTCAAGCCCCTTCGCCACGACAAGGCAGCAATCCATGACATCTACAGATGGCAAATTTAGCATTATAATCCTATCCATAGTTGCATAATCTTTACTAGTCTGATCCATATTTGGAGGAAAACAAGCCATGTTACGTGGGTTCAGTTCTGCATAAGCAGTTCTGCCTCTTTAGGGAATCAGAAAGTGAAGCTTTCTGCTTACATTGTCTTGGAATGGAAGATAAAGTACAAAAAAGATGTATCATTATGCATATACTTAGAGTGCATAGAGTTGATCAATGGTCTATGCTCGCTTTCGGAAGAGCTGTAGCTTCAACCATAACATTTTTATTTTAGACCAAAGAGTATTTCCTCTTTTGATGTTCTAACATATTTGTATTTTTATGCTTGATCTTAAGTTTTATTTTGTGTAGTCTCAAAAAAAGACAGGAAGCGTAAAATCCCCTTACTTGTTTGTTTCTAGCCACCAGTTTTTAAAGCCTGGTTGCATCTGTTTTAGATCATTCAAAACATAATCTAAATGTTTCACTCTAGATTTGATAGAGATATGAACAATATTCTTGACCAGGCTATTCTAGGACATTGGCACTGTAACTAGTGGATCTCTTCTAAAGGATCTTGTGCATTACCGTCTGCATGAATAAAAATAGACTTCTTTCAAATTTCTTTTCAACCTAGCTGCTTTTAAACTTGTGAAAAGTTGGCTGGGCCCAGAAGCAGTAACTCTGTTGAAGCTAACCAATAAGAATGAAATCCAGCAGTATATCAGTGCTGAGTATCTGCCACCTTATATGGGTGGTACTGTAAGTATATTAGTATATCATAAATGTGCTAGTACAATTGATACTAATGTTCTGTTTGGTATGAGAAGGGGAAGACAATATTTAATCATAATAGTATATAGATTTATTTCCTCTGCTGTTTTGTTTCAGGGTAGTTGGTTTAAAAGCAATTGTGGGCCACATGTGACTCATACACAATGTGACAAAGTCATATGTATCCCAGCATCTCCAAAGGAAGCCTTTAGTGAACATCCATTTGTTACTGCTGATAACATCACCATTGCGCACATGGAGCTGTGCATCGTGATTTCAGCTATTGTCTTACAAAGCAATTCACCCATTTGAAAAGAAAAAAAATCACATTCTTCAGGGTTTCCTGTTTTTCCAATGGAAGAATTGAACATTTGTGTTGCAAGGAAAGTCTGAAGACTGAGGGTTTTTTTAAATTCTAATGCTTCCATTTCTAATGACTCCCCGTTCCACAAACGTCTCCCACACTCATCTCATGCTGAATGATTTTCCCATTCACAATTTTCCATGGTGTAATATCTGTGACCAAAGCAGTAATACTGGTGAATTTTGAAAATGTGTCAAAAAGTATTTGCACATGTCTGTATTTTAACTCAGTGGTTCTTAACCTTTGTTACTCAGGTGTTTTTGAACTGCAACTCCCAGAAACCCCAGCCAGCAGAGCTGATGGTGAAGGCTTCTGGGAGTTGCAGTCCAAAAACATCTGAGTAACAAAGGTTAAGAACCAGTGTTTTAACTGATAAAGCATTGTAATAACTGTGTAAATAAATGCAGGAACTATGTTAAATGGTAGCCTGATAATAATTGGGCACTACATCTTGGCTGAAATCCTGTTGAGTAACTATGCATGTCTGAAGGCTAATGACATCAGCCATAGACATTAATTTTTAACATAAAGTTTCCTTCCCCTGCCCTTGATTCCAGAGCTCTATAGAGATCCCTTTCAAACTGGGGAAGTCTCTGAGAGCCTTGGGAAGAAGAAGCAGGGTGAGTCTTTAATGTTGTCAGTCCTGCTCTTTTGGTATGTATTGTTAGATGATGATTCTATGCTACTTCTTCCCCACACCTGTAATATACTAAATTCCTTATGTTACAGGATACCTTCAAGTACAGCTATCCTCCATTAGTTGATGATGATTTTCAAACTCCACTATGTGAAAATGGACCCATTACTTGTGAAGATGAAACTGAAAGCAAAGAAGAAATAGATACAGATAACAAAGAGAGTCCAGATCCTAATGAAGAGCAACCAACTAATTCAAAAAAGGTATCCCTGGACTGAAGTGCCCATAGGGAAAAAAATAACAGCAACAATTGTGTAGCAGATTTCAAAGTACTTACTGTTTATTAAAAACACCAAATAAAGCATGAGGGTTACTGGTTGGTTGTTATATCCTGCTTTTAAAATCATGAACTGAGGCCTAGACATGGATCTGTCCTTCTTTTGTAGTTCTGGGTCTTTGAAGCTGTTGCTGAACTGCTAGCACTTAGACACATTTTATCTTTGGTTTTAAAATGTGGACTTTTGCCTGAGAAGCGATACAGTTGAGATACCAAGAGGATACCTGCTCATATGTGGTTTTGTTATCTCATTTTCTTCCTTTCTGTGTGGTCTTGTGTTTTTTTTTTCCTTTGGCCGTTACTGAAACTGGCTTCCTTTTGTGAAGTATAACCAACAGAAGTTAAGTGTTTTGGGATCTTGTGTGGTTAGCTTTAGAACTCATTTATAAACAATATAATAAATACAAGCCCTTCCACCCTGTGCTTTGTCCGACTCAGATCTGAATCCAGCATCAGAGTTCACATCTGCACTTGAGGTCTGAAGGCTTGAATAGAGAACATATCAGTGGTTACCTGTGTTTCTCCCACATTCCTACAAGCCAGTTTATATCCATAATTCTTCTAATTCCTCAATTCCTAGCTACTTACACAGACGTCATGTTTAATCCTCACATTTGGCAGCCAAAATGGTCTATATGTGTTATATGTAGCATATATCAAGCATTGTGATTGCTTTCACTTCTTTGTTTCAATTATTTGTCACTTCCATTCTCATGACTGTACATGTAGCATGTTGGTTCATGGATTACTGTCAGGGTTCCTTTTAATTTTTATCCGTGCTGCACAGGAGCTTTGCCTTTCTGTGCAGAAGTAAACAGGCATTGGCACTGGCTACCACTGCACAGCAATAGTGGAGCTGTATGCGTGTGCGGGCACACACAAACACTCACAAACACACACCCCTCTCTTAGAGGGAACGTTGATTACTGTGGAAAATGACATATATTTGTTCTTGGATTTCCCCCCCCATGGCACTTTTTGCTTCCCCTTTAGCATGTTTATATTTTACGTATTACAGTTTCCTGCATGATGTTCAGAAACATACTTAGAATGTATGGTGACTGCCTCTGTTTCAGAATTCAGTAGGCCAGAATAAGATAGCAATAATCCTGTTCAAAGCTCACTAGTGATATCACATGACTTTTTGAAAATTTTACTACAGTGTCATTTTAATAAAAAATAATGGCTGAAATCCTATTGCACAGTTACGCAAAAGGTGTAACTTCTAGTGGCAAATGGCTGCCAAGGTAAGAAATGCCTATAGGCATTATCTGTTGCATTCTGAGTTGTGCTGCCTACAGAGATTAATTTGTGGCACTTCACTAAAGGTTATACTTTTCATGTAAATATGACATAATTTCGGCCAAAATTTTATATCAATAATAAAATTGAATTTGGAGGAGAAACATTGAATTTAGGCACAACATTCCACTGGGTAGCAGTATTTTTCTATCGTTCATCATATTGGGTTGCTCAGCCTCTATAGACAATGTTTTTTCTTTTTACCTTTTATTGTATAATGTTCACTGACTATTTAATTTAATGTAGTGACTGAGGTAACCAAACATTAAGATTAATTGCCATTACTCGCAACTTGTAATTCTTCTGGACTTTCCACTGTCTGTATGCTTCTGCCGGTGATGAAGAGCACAAAAATATGTCAGGAATTGTGAAAGTTTAGAAATATTCAACTGCAATAATTTTGTTTCTTTAATATCTAAAAAAGGTTTGTGGTATTTTGTGCCACCATATAGCAAGTTTGGAAGGCAGCTGACACAATTTTATTTATTTATTTAATTTATATGCCGCCCACGCTACCCAAAGGTCTCTGGGCAGCTTACAACAAGCTTATATAACAAGAAGATAAATAATGACCTCAAATTGAAAGTTCTTGGAAAATTCTAAGACATAATGATAAAGATTGCTCTGGAGAGGTAACAAAATAGGTGCCAAACATAAACCAGGAGAGTTGGGCGTTTCATAAGTGCAGTAGTACAACTGACAAGGTACTTGCAGCAACTTGCTGAATGTTACTTGGCATTCGTGGCCAATGGATGAATTCAAAAGATGTTTTAGGTTCCAAGCAGCCACATATGAGATAAAACATTCATCTTAGGTACTCTGTTCTCAAGTCATTTAGGTGGTTTAAAGTCAACATAATACTTTGAATTAAACCCTGGAAAGTACTGAGTGCCAATAAGCTTGGTGATGCTGTGGTTAAACTGCAGTACTGCAGTTAAGCCTCTGCTTATAGCCTGAGTTTGATCCTGACAGGTTCAGGTAGCCAGGGTTGACTCAGCCTTCCCCTGTCCGAAAGTTGGCAAAATAAGTGCCTGGCTCACTGGGGGGAGGGAGTATTCTTTGCAGAATTGTAAACTGCCCAGAGAGTGCTCTGGCATAATGAGGTGGCATATAAGCCGAAACAATACATAAACCATTGGTATCACAAGATCATGAAGACCAGTCATTGGTGGGGATTTTTAAAATCTGTTACGGATCAACTGAAGTTTCCAAACCGTTTTCAGAGCCAATCCCACATACAGTGCAGTGAACTAATCCATCTAGGATGTTACCAGAAGAAGCTAAATTACTGCCAGACTGTTCAGATACGGCTGTGTTTAATATATCAAACTAACCTGACTACTGTATATCACAAGAGTCCTACTGCATCAGACCAAAGATTTACCTAGTTCTGCACTTCAGTTTTCTCACTGGCCAACCTGTGGCCTATGGGAAGCCTATAAACCAAACTGAAGAATATCTTTCTTGCTGTTCCACAAAAAATGTTTTCAGGAGTGTGATGCTTCTAATACTAGGAGTGGTGTATGACTAGTAACTGCTAAGAGATATATTCTCTGTGAATTTTTCAAAGCCCCTGTTTAAACCATCCTACGTTTGTAGTCATTGCAGCATCCCGCAACACATTCCACAGACTAACCATGCACTTGTAATACCCATTCAATAAGCTTCATGTATAGGAGGAGAAAGGTGCTCTGCCTTATTTCACCACACCATATACAATTTTATATTTATTCTAATTCTTTTTTTTTTCTGAACTAAATGACCCCTGTTGTGACCTTGTAGGACAAGCACATAGAATGCAATGTGTGCTTCACAATCAGATCCAAAGTGATTTAGTTTTCAAACGGGAAAAGACCTTTAAAAATTCAGGTGCATTAATGTCTCTTTGATGGGTTTTTTTTTCTTCCTGTTCTCTGCCCCCAAATTATGTAGAAATCGTTTGGCATCAATTTAAAATGATAAATTAGGTAATGTATGTGTAATTCATAGTATTGAGGATATTATTTGCATTTTAAACATTGATACCTGCTATGAGTGCTCATAATGTACCCGAATTACTATCCTATTGCCTACAGTAAATCTGGAATGGAAGGGAAGTTGTATATGTGTTCCTCCTACTCTGGCAGGCTCCCTATCATGTGCCCATTCTCGTACTGATCACAAGATCAGTCACACAACTGATCTCACAATAGAGAGCCTGCCAGAGCAAAGAGTATACTTATGCAATTTCCGTTCCGCTCTGTTGAGCCAGCAGGATGCTAGTCTTAGATATAAATCAGTCATTCTAGCAAATATTGGGATTTCCTTGGCAGAAGCAGTTTCTATCCACCTCTATAGCTGACAATTACTGTTCCTTTTTATTAGAGCAGAACAAGGAAACAGAAAACAAAATTGTCAGTATACTAATGGCTTTATATGACTCTGTAGTGCAACTACACTTTGAAGTATTGCATACAGTTGGTGTTACTGAACTTAAAAAGAGATGTAGAACTGGCACAGTTCCAGAAAATGACATTTAAAATGATTAGGCAACTGAAACCATTTTTAATTTTTTTATTGTAAAGTGACATAATTAAGTCAGTGAACGAAGTATAATCCATGACAAGTAATTTCATTGTACTTGATTACAAAATAGCATTGCCTTTTGTATATATATAATTAGTATTCATTGTTTCTGTTTACCTAGGCCAGTTCTGCAGAACAAACTCTTAAATCGGAAGAGTGTGACAAACTAGATTCCAAAACAAAAAATGCAAAAAAAGCACTTACAACCTTTAAAGGACCTTTATTGCATATCAGGTAAGATCAGAATAAGTGCATTTATTCGGCAAAGCATTTCATATTTTAAAGTTGTGGCTCTGGCATTTACCTTTTTTTTCTGTGTATACAATTTATTCTATTTATATCCTGCCTATCTGGTCGTTGCCCCCCAATGTATAAGATGACCCCCTAATTTTTAGTCTTGGTGGAGGAGCAGTCAATGGGCAACCACTAGGGGCTGCTCCTCCGCCTCTGGTCTTCTGCAGCTGCTACCTCCACCTCCATCGCCTCTTCCAGTACAACTGCTGGGGCTTACCTCCAGCTCACGTCACCACCTTGTCCCGTGCCGAAGGAGATGATCGCTGGAGGAGGTGATTTGATGGCAGCGGCAGCAGTGAGAGGTGGCCAAGCGCGGCTGCTCCTTTGCCTCTGCCTCCTGCTGCTGCTGAGCCCGTGAGTGGCGCTGGCAGCAGCAGGAGGAGGAGGTAGAGACTGAGGCAAAGAAGCAGCCACGCTTGGCCGCCTCTCACTGCTGCCCATTGACTGCTGCCGCTGGCGCCGGATCACCTCCTCCAGTGATTGTCTCCTTCAGGCAGGGGACAAGGTGGCGATGTGAGTTGGCATAAGCCCTGGCAGTGGCACTGGAGGGGGTGATCGGTCGGCGGAGGCAGCAGTCAATGGGCAGCTGCGAGAGGGGGCTGAGCGCAGATGCTCCTCCATCTCCTGCTGCTGCCTTCCCTGTATAAAATGACCCTCAATTTTTCGTCTAATTTAGGAAAAAGTGTCATTTTATATACAGAAAAATATGGTAAAAGTTATTGGAACTGGAGGGACAGGATGTTTCACATTGTAAGAACTCAACTGTCATTGATTCTGAAATGTCTGCATCTGGTCTTTTGAAATCTGTGATGTCTCTGTATGGTATGTATAGATGAATAAATAAAAATATTCATGAGCAGGATTTCTAAAGTAAAGTCATAAATAGTACTTCTTATTGTTGAAGGTTGTTCCCCTTTCCTGTATTGATTGATATCACTGTTCAAATGTGTATAAGCCCAGTGTTATTTAAATTGGCATCCTGATGAGTTCTACCATTTGTCCTGGGCAACTAGAAGACACAGATAATTTTCTTTTTCCTGTTAATCAAGTTTGTGGACCATAAGTTGTCACCAGAATTAAGCTGCAGTAATTAAGAAAGCTATGGATCAGGAATTCCCTCAAACTGGGTAGCTATAGGCAATCACTGTATCTTTTTTTCCTCAGCCCTTATTTATATTTTTGGGGATAACAATAGCCTAAAGTGTTTCTGTAAGGATTCCTAAAATAGAATGGAGCCCTAAATAACTGCTGACTATTTGTTGTGGTAGTTGCAAAACAGATCCCTGGTACTTCTCATCCTGGATGCTGACCAAAGAGTCTCTTGTGTTGTATTTGATTCATTTTTCCCCCCAAACAATTTTTATTATTGTATTTGGTTCAGTGCAAATATCATGGCTGTTTTCCTCTAGAAGCTCAGAAAGTCAAAAGAGAAAGAGCTAATTTTTTTGTCATTCATTCCTTAATGCAGTGGTTCGCTCCTTTCCCAGTTCCTCTGAAGTAATGACATGTAGCGCTGTTGTGGGAGTAAAATACTGTACATTCAAGGGTAGGAGCAAATGATAGGCTGAGGAAAATGTTCTGTTTTATTTAATTATTGTTTTAATTTTTACTGCACAGAAAATGTCTGTAATATAAACTGTAGCATACATTTGATGAAGTTTCTGAACATTGTTTCAACTTTTCTGATTTAAGTTTTCAGCATTGTCAGAAAATGTTTATAAAAGTGAGCTTTTGAATATCTTTGAAATTGTAACTAATTCATGTTCCAGTGAAACATTTTCTTTGATACTAGATTTGACTAATCTGAACTTTAGCCATAATCACACAGAGCAAAGTCTGTAGCCATTACATTGGGTGTACTGCAGCCCATGATGCCCCTCATCTGGCATACATAATTTCCTCTCTTCATCCCAGTCAGAGATAACAGGCTGTTTAAAGTCCAGTAAGGTTATATGGTGAAATGAGTTCTGGTTTGCATAATGAGGAGAGCTGTGTGAAACAAGAGTTCTGTTCGTGGGCAGTTTTGTGTGCTGGAGGAATTCACTGGCAAATCATAACATTTATACTTGGCCTTCCCCGTGCTTTGGGAAGGAGCCTCCCCAAAGAATGTGAGGCCTATGGACACATTTGGACATTCACTGCATAACAACAGCACATTGTCAACTAATCCTTCCACTGCTTATAGCTACCATAGCTGGCCAGTTTGACATGAATGAAGAAGAGCTGCTGCTTGAACAGACCTCTAACAATCCTGCCTTTCAAACTGGAGTGTGGCTCCATGGCTGAAAAGTGCTCCTTACCCCTGTTTTACGTTATTGTGATTTAAATTGCATCTAAGATCTATAAAAATGCATGGTTTTTAATATGTAGCGGAAAATATTCTATAGACAGAAAAAAAATCTAATACAGTGGTGCCTTGCTTAACAGGCGCTCTGTTTAGCGACGAAACCGCATGGCGACGAGCTTTTTGCGATCACAAAAGCGATTGCATTGCGATGTTTCCTATGCGGTTTTTTCGCTTTGCGACGATCGGTTCCCTGTTTTGCTTACCGATCATCGCAAGGTTTTTTAACAGCTGATCGGCGGGTCCAAAATGGCCACCGGGTTAAAAAATGGCCGCCCGCTGTGTTTTCGCGCCGATTCCTCGCTTTAGAGGCAGCGAAAATGGCCACTGTATGGAGGATCTTCGCTTTAAGGTCAGTTTTTTGCCCATAGGAATGCATTAAGCAGGTTTTAATGAATTTCTATGGGCTTTTTAAAATCGCATAGTGACGAAATCGCTTAGCAGAGATTTTTGCTGCATGGATTAATGTCGCTATGCGAGGCACCACTGTATATACAATAATATCCCATCAAAATGTAAATCAGGACTGAGATATTAACATTTTTGTAATTGAACTGTTCATATAAAATGAATGAGTGGCCGGAAGTGTTATTGCTATCACTTGTAAGTTATCCTTGTATTATGTCCTTTCATTATTTCTGGACAGTAAAGTCTTGCAAATCACAGAATGCTTAAGAATTTAGAGGGTGATGTAGTAATTCCAAATAAAGTCAAATATGATGATATTTTTCTGATCTTCCATAAATACCTTTTTTGAACTTCAACTTATTTTGTTTTTAGAGAGGTTGGCACACAC